CTCTGTGGTGCGTTAAAGAGTGTTAGAGATTCGGTAATCCTCGTCAGTTTACTTCCCCTGAACGTCTAATCCGTAATCGCGTTTGGCCTATCTCCTTACTAGGACCGAGTCTAGAAAACGAACTTCACATTTTAAACAGGCGTCCTTTGTAAGGCCTAGCAATGCCTGCCTCCCTCAGGCTAATGAGCGTGCTCCCTGGGAGATGTGCCGGCAGCCTGCATTGAGTTCACTTGAAAGCTCCTGCATCAAGGTCACATGGGTGGGGTGTTTATCGATCTGACCTGATTTGGAGACGGGATAAGACACTTATTTTGCTCCAGGGTCCCTGTGTACGGTCTGCGGAGGCGGTCATACGCCAAGAAGTGGATAATTGAGAAGTATTATCGCAAAAACAACCAAAACTTGAATGGTTGTTTATGACTTAGGTGGCATCATCAGTAAATCACATGTGAATCATATGGGCCCCCGTCCATGCAGTCGAAAACATTCATAATCTGTTCACTGTTCTGACCTTGATTCATGATGTTATAGGACGAAATTGATGGAAATTTTGTGTAGCGAGCAATTTCAAAATGTTCAATGGGCAGGTTTTTCCTGTTAAACGAGCCCAACTTTCGTAGATGATAAGGTGCCGACTAACTGACGTCATTTCTCACAGAACTAAGTGGTAACGACCAGGAGACTACAGTTTGCCGACAACGAATAGAAGGATACAGATTTATTTATTCTCTGAAACAATTCAGTGCACGCTGAAGCTGGCACAAAAATCCCAGAACGCATTACAGCCCTTTATAACCCGAACAACTGAAGCTTTGGTTAAAATGACGAAAGTTTTATTTTGAAGTAGTTTTTGCCGGGCATGGATTTAAAGGCAGCAAAAAACAGCAGGGTTTATTGGTGTCGAAAAATTTCGTAGCTGATTAGCAACTGCCTTTTTTTCCTATCAGGTTTCTAAGTGATGAAACATTGATGAGATTGCGTGCTTTAATCTGTGACCTTGCAGTTTTAATAGTAATTTTCGGAAAAAGCTAGGCCGCTACGCATTTATTACCCACTATCCATGTTACAAGACAGCAGAAAGCGACCGCTAAGCCGCCGCGAAAGCTTTTGGTGCCACCAAACCCTGCCGTTTAAGCTTGTTTTGAAGGTGTTAGTCCCAGACTGGACCTCAAGCCAGTTTCCTCCTTTGCGTGACGTGATAGAATGAGGAATGATCGAGAAGCTTAAGCACTGCTCTGCGTATCGATCAGCACAGGCAGGACATAACCGTTCCCACACCTGCACACAGCCTAGGCCGGCGCAGTTATCGATTTGCGCGGCCACCAGAAAAAAATGTACAAGAAGACAAATGGTCAAACCCGACTGGCGCACCTGAGCTGGCAATTTATTGCCTTCAAGAGTCACCGGGATAACAGTTACTGGTAATTTTTTGTGAGCCAGTATCCGCAACTTCAAAAGGCGACGGCCAGCGAGGCCGCAGAAGTAATGTAGTCGTGCTGGGGTCCTCGAAGAATGTAATCCTCAATTGCGAAATGCGTTGTCCGTTCTCACAGGTTAACGCGATGAGGTGACGGCGCTTGTGCTGAGTGCGGATTCCCAGCGGTTTGCCATTCGAATGGTGGGAACTGTTCATCCATTTACAGAGACGACCGATGGGGTGGAAGCGAAGGAAATATAAATAAGTTCGTCACGGCACCGGCAGCTATCCCTTGACTTAGGAAATACGTCGAAATTCCGAATGGTTGGCGATGAAATAACACCAAATCTGCTAAGACACTGAACTCCAGATGCTAGACAGTCTTGCGGCTCTCGCCCTCAGACTTAGACAGCTCTTCACCTATAATTTAAGTGTTCTCTTGACTCATGGACCGATATTTTGTATTTATCCTGCTGCTGAATTTTCCCAGTCAATTTGACAGTTCGAAACTTCACACTCCAATACGTGCATGGGAGTTAAGCTCTCGCTGAGGCAGATTTTATTTGAATCGACCGCCTCACCCGGCATGTTTTTCGCAAACGCGGCCCCACTTGGTTTACATTTCATGCCTTTTCTACTGCTATCGGTTTCCGTAGGCGTGTTATTGTTTGCGAAAATTTGCGGTTTGTAGTACTTGGGGACAGGCGCGAGTTGGTAGGGTAAGAAGCCGGTGGGTTAAGAAAGTCACGGGGAAGGAGGTGTTAGGCTGCTAGGGCTAGGGTTGGAGTTAGGATTAGCCTTAGGTTATGTGGTTAGGTTTTTAGGGCTCGAGTTGAGGTTTAGGGTTAGAGTTAGGGTTGGGTTCAGGGTTTTAGGTTTGGGTTAGGGTTCAGGTTATAATCAGTGTCTTGGATTAATGTTTAGGATTAAGGTAAGCTGCTGGGGTTAAGGCCACGGCAATGAATTTGGTTGGGGTTGGGATTACGGTTAGGGATTAGGGCTAGGTGTCACAGTTAGTGATGGAGTTGGAGTTAGGAGTAGGGTTAGGGCTGGCTATATAGTTAGCGTTAAGGGTGAGTGCCAGGATTAGGGTTAGGGTTTAAGTTTGGGCTCAGGGTTCGGGTTATAGTTGGGGATAGGGGTAAGGATTGAGACTAGGATTCAGGGTCGAGGTTAGCATTTGGGGTCAGAGTTAGGCGTTAGGGTTTAGGATTAAGTTTGGTGCGTAGCGTTAAAGTTATGATCTACGACAGAAGTTTAGGATGAGGGTTACGGTTAAGGTTAGGCGCAAGCTTTACAGTTAGGGTTGGAGTTGGGATTAAGGTTAGAACTTAGGATTAGAGTTAGCGTTTATGGGAGGGTTAAGGTTGTGGGTAAGGGTTTAATGTTAGTGCGAATTTTTTGGTTAAGTTTACGGATAGGGTTGGATTTAGTTTCAAGGATTTGGGCCTTTTGCTGAGGTCTAGAGCTAAGGTTTGATTTCGGTTTAGGATCTGGGTTTGGTTTGGTTTTTAGGGTTGGAGTTAGGGTTTGAGGATGGGTGCATGGTTTATGGTTAGGGTTGGGGTTTAAAGTTAGGGCTCAGGGTTAAGATTAGGTTTAGGGCCAATAGTTATGTGAGGGCAAGATTTTAGGATTAACATTTATGCCTAGGGTTAGGGGAAAATTTTAGGGTTGGGTTTGGCTTAGATTTTATGTAAGTTTCCAGGGTGCGGTTTTCGGTTGAGTTTAGAGTTACGACTCAGGGTTATGGTTAGAGTTGGCGTCTAGGATTACGACCTGTGTTTAAGGTTGTTTTAGGAATAACCGTTAGGGTTAGGGTTTACGGTTAGGATTAAGTTTAGCCTTAGCACAAGTTTCAGAGTTCGGTTTACTGCTGGGGCTAGAGTGGTGGTTAAGTATTAGGGTTAGGGTTGGTACCAGGGTTTATGATCAGGGTTGGTGTTTAGGGTTAGGCTTAGAGGTTTAGGTTATTGTTAGGGTCGGTGTTATTGTTTAGGAGTAGGGCTAGTTTTCAGTTTTAGGGTATTTGAAGCATTTTGTCCCCGGTACGAAGCTGAAGTAGGCAAGAACGGCAGGATTTATTGTAACCAAAAATTTCGCGACTGCTCTTCAGCTGCTTCCTGTCGCTTCATAAGAGAGATAACGAGTGAGAACAATACAACAGATTTGTATTCGTGCAGAAAATCGATGCAGAAACAGCAAGGTTAGGGTTTTGGGCAAAGTTGGCCAATCGATAAAGTTAGTATTTGTTGTTTGTATTTGTTGTACGTTAAATGTCATTCTTCTGAATCTGCTTGCTCACTGCTTATATATTTCAGCTACTAGTTTGCTGAGAGAGGGACGGAAAAGCTCTGCCTCCCGTCTATCTACCCTTTCCCATCCCACTTCCCTTAAAGTCCTATGGAAATGTCGTAGGCAGGCCTAGGCGAACTCCATTCGTTCTCTCACTAAACAAAAGCCGCGACCCATAGTGGAGTTCGGCAGCCGTCTGAGGCAACTGAGCAACCCTATTTAGGGAGAGCACTGCTCAACCCCGGGAGGGGCAAGAGGTTAAAAAAGGTGCCCTAAACTAATTCTGTGATCAACGTCGTCTGCAGGCTGGCAGTGGCCGCAGACCCAAAACTCACGGTCGAAACAATCAAACAAGAAACAACACTCTCTTACCCCTCCTTCTCCACGCCGCCCCACTCGTCAGACTAGTAGAGTGAGTCCACCCACTCTGGCAGCCAGGAATATTCGTTCCCTTTTAGACAAGCCGAGTAGCAACCGACCGGAACGGAGGGCGGTCCTAGTGACTCGGGAACTAGCGAGCTACAAGATGGACATCGTTACACTCAGTGAGCCCCAGTTCTCTGAATAAGGCCAACTGGACGAGGTGGGTACCGGCTACACCTTCTTGTGGAGCGGTCGCCCCAAGGCAGAGAGATTTGGCGCAGATGTCGCGTTTGTCATCCGGAATGACATCATGAGACGACTGCCGTTTCTTCTGTAGGGTATCAACGGTCGGCTGATGAGCCTCCAGCCTCTCCAGGGAAGCAAATTCGCCACGACCGTCAGTGTGTACGCTCCACCGATAACCAGCCCTGACGCTTCAAGGGATAAATTCTGCGAGGACCTGCACGCCCACTGGCGTCTGTGCCAAAGGTGGATAGGTTCATTGTCATTGGTGACTTCCACGTTCGCGTCGACACAGATCATGCTGTCTGGAGAGGAGCGCTGGATCTCCAGGGTCTCGAGGGCTCCCCCTACGAATCTTCACAGAATAATGGCTCATCCTGACTAACACCTTCTACCGCCTCCCGATGCGAGAGAAGGCCTTCTGGATGCACTCTCGGCCACAACATTGGCACCTGTTGGGCTATGTTCCCGTCCGGAGGCAAGACCAGCGGGACGTACTAGTGACAAAGGCGGTCCCGGATGTCGACGGTCGGACCGATCATCCTCTCTTTGTCTCCCAGATGCGCATTTACCTATAGACGCACAGGAGATCTCAAGGCAAGCGGTCCCCAGGTAAGCTGAATATTGCTCTGTTGTCTTTCCTGCTCACCACCTACATTTCAGCAATGGGCTAGCTCAACGGTTAGCCAGCCTTCCAGTCGCCGCCACCAACGACGCTGACGAGAACGCCTCTGCGGAGAAACGATGGTGTCAACTCCGGGGCACAGTCCAGTCGACGGCGCTGGCTGTCCTTGTTCACGCACGACGCCAACATCAGGACTGGTCCGACGACAACGACGCCGCCATCAGCAACCTGTCCTCCGGGAAGAACCAGATGTAGAAGATCTTCTTTAGTCGCCCTATTGACGGCAAAATGCGGCCATCTAACGTAGTCGCCGCCTTGTCCAACAGCGGCTTCGGGAAATAAAGGACGCTTGGACGACTCGCAAGGTCAAGAAGATTCAAGGGGACGCGGATCGCAAAGAATGGAAGAATTTCTTCGCGATCAAGGCTGTCTTCGGTCTGTCAACTAAAGCTACTCCTCATCTTCTCAGCGCCGGCGGCAGTACCTTAGTCACTGGGAAGACACAAATTCTACAATGATGGCCCGAGGACTTAAGAAGCGTCCTCAACCGCCCCTCCACCATCTCCGACGTCGCCATCGTCCGTCTGCTTCAAGTGGAGACCAGCGCCAACCTCGATCTCCTGTCCTCTCTACACGAAACCATCAGGGCCGTGCAATGGCGCTGCAGCGGGAAAGCGCGCGGATCGGACGCGATCGCTGCTGAGATCTATAAGCGCGGTGGCTTCCAAATCATGAATAATTTGACGGTGCTCTTACAGGAGATTTGGCGTCAAGGAAAATTGCCCCAAGATTTCGAGGGTGCCACAATCGTGCATTTATACAAGCGAAATGGAAATCACCAGCTAAACGACAACAATCTAGACATCTCCTTGTTGAATTTCGCCGGGAATATCTTCTCTCGCATTCTTCTGAACCGCCTGAATAATCATCTGAAACAGAGTCTACTACCGAAAAGCCAGTGTGGCTTCCGCCGTCACCGCGGAACCACCGATATGATCTTCGCCGCCCATCAACTGCAAGAGAAATGTCAGGAGGTGCAAACTCACCCCTACTCTATCTTTGTGGAACGTACGAAAGTCTTCGACACGGTGAATCGCGAAGGGCTGTGGAAAATCATGCAGAATTTCGGCTGTTTCGAACGATTCCCCCAGATGGTGCGTCAGATTCACGATGGCATGTTGGCGCGAGTCACGGACAATTGAGCTGTCTCAGAGGTATTCGCAGTGATCGAAGGAGTGAATCAGGGCTGCGTCCTCGTGCTGACCGTCTTCAGTCTCATGCTCTCTATCATGCTGCTGAACGCCTGGCTTGACGAACGCCCTGGGATCCGCATCGCCTACAGGACGGACAGCCACTTCCTCAACCACCGAAGGATGCACTTCCAGTTGCGTGTATCACCAAGACCGTCCATGAACTTCTCCTCATCGACGACGGTGCCCTCAACGCCACCTCGGAAGGGGACATGCACAGGAGCATGGATCTCTTCGCCGCCGCCTGCGAGAACTTCGGTCTGATCATAACACGGAGAAGACGATATTCATGCCCCCACCGCCACCCAGCACAGCCCCTCACCACAATGCGCCGCAAATCAGCGTGAACGGAACCCAACTGCAAGTGGTGGACAACTTCACGTATCTGGACAGCACCCTCTCTCACAACACCAAAACCGACGATGAATTGAGTCGCAGGATCTCCAAAGCCCCTCCAGGCCTTCGGCCGTCTCTAAAGCAGGGTCTGGAATCACCACAGTCTCCAACTTAGCACCAAACCGTGGACGTAAAGGGCCGTCGTCATCCCGACGTTGCTGTATGGAGCAGAGACTTGGAAGTTGTACACGAAGCGGGCACGCTGACTTAACCACTCCCACCGCAGCTGTCTTCGACGGATACTGAAGCTGAGATGACAGCGCCAGATCCCGGACACCGATGTACTGGAGCGGACAGGAATCCTCAGCTTTTACGCCATGCTGAGACAGCTGCAACTGTGCTCGAGCGGCCACTTCGTGCGGATGGACGACGAGCAGCAACCCAAACAACTCGATATAAGTACACTCTTAAGACTTCCCTGAAGCGTCTGCGGATCAACCTGGCCAAATGAAAAGACATCGCTCGAGACCGACAGACTGACCTGGAAGAGGACAGGGGAGACGGGCACAGCGACCTGTGAAGCCAACCGCATCACTGCCGCTTAAGCAAAACACTAGGCTCACAAATCTCAACTGCGCCCACCGCGCAACGCCGACGCTCAACCAGTCCCGAACTGCCAACGTTGCCAGAGACGGTTCCGGTCACCAATCGGCCTTGTAGGACATCTTACCCACTGCAGCACCCGGACAACACCAGTTACCGTCTCCTCGACAAGTTCTGCCTCATACTCCAGGCCGACGGCTAACGCTAACCGCACTCCTGAACTCCCATCATCATCATCATCATCATCATCATCATCATCATCATCATCATCATCATCATCATCATCATCATCATCATCATCATCATCATCGTCATCGTCATCATCATCATCATCATCATCATCATCATCTTCTTCTTCTTCTTCTTCTTCTTCTTCTTCTTCTTCTTCTTCTCCTCCCTTGTCTCAGCATCAGCCACGGCGACTTGTGCACCCACCACTGCGCACAATCCTGAAACACCAACAATCATCAACCCCCAACCGGCAACCCATTCGATATGGACTCGATCCATATCTGTCCTCATTGCGACCGCGCCTTCACTCCACACACATCGGGCTGGTCGGTCACTTGCACAGAGACTGGCGAACCAGTGCTTGCAGCACCCACATATACTCGCCACATCCGCCTCAACTGCCCTCACTGCACCAGCACATTCGCACACCGCATGAGCGTATTAGGCCACTTACGCATCCACGAAAACCTGCAGTAGACAACTTACCGCTAAGCCACACCAGCACTCCTTCCGCCATTTGCATCCACTACAAGTATCCAATCGTCACCCCCCACGCAAGTGTGAAGTGTGTGTGTCTCGGCTCCGTCTCCATGTGACCCCTTTGCTGCTTGTGTGATTCATGTCCAAGACTCTCACGGCGCGTCAAGCGCAGTGACTTGGAAGGCTGCAGACTGACGCCCCAACACAGTTCACGCAGTCTGCCCAGTTGTGTGTGTTTATGTTTGGAGCGGCAGACTGGTGGACTGAAAGCCAGGTTGAAACGGCTCATTCTTAACGCGACCTACGCACACTCTCACGTGTATGCCGCCTGATCCCCGTTGTATGAAATCCTGACGTTTGTGTTTGAGGAGCCAAGTCGTGCATGTGGCGCGCGCAGAGAAGGTCACTAGGTCACCGCGCCCATTCCCCTCACCCGTTAACTGGCCAGTTCGGACAGGCAGAGTGCGGTCGAGGACGCAGCGCACTTTCCTCACTATAAAAAAATCTGACGCGCTTAAAGCTATCACAGGATAGGTATAACGTTTAGTGATAGATTTAGGGGTTAGAGCTATTGTTTGGCTAAGGATTTACGGTTAGACTTTTGCGTTTGTGCTAGGGTTCTGGCTATGGGCAGGACTAGATTTAGGGTTTAAGGCTGGGTATATGGTTAGGGGTTGGAGTAAGGTTCATTGTTAGGGCTCAGAATCGGGTTTATTGGTCATGGTTAGTGATTTGGGTGATGGTTAGACGTAGGGTTTTGCCTTTGTCTCGGGGTTAGTGGTATAGTTAGGGCTTAGCGTCACGCGTTAGGTCCAGTGATAAGTTTATCGTTAGGGTTTGAGTTACGGTTGGAATTTGGGATTAGGATTTCGTTTTAGGGTAGGCGTTCAGCTTTTAATTTAGGGCTAGATTTTATGACTAAGGTTAGTTTTTAAGCTTGGAGTTAGGAATGAGGCTAAATTCAAGGTTAGCGTTTAGGGCTAACGCTAGTGGCTATGGTCAGGACTAGGGTTTAGACTTACTGCCACCATTATGTTTGGCGTAAGGCTTAAGTTTAGGGCAAGATTTAGGGTCTGGGTTAGAAGCTAGGTTAAGGGAAAGGCTTTATGATTCGGGCTGGATTTTAAGGTAAGGGTCTAGGGTTAGGAATAGGCGCAGGGTAAGTGTTAGATCTAGCGATGACGTTTAGGTTTATGTTCAGGTTGTGGGCTTAATTTCAGTGCTGGCGTTCGAGGTTAGGGTTTGAACTTAAAATTAGGCGTAGGAGTATGTTTAGTGTTGAGTGTTAGGGTTTAGAGTTAGCGCCAGGGTTAGGGTGACATTTATGGTTATGGGTCAGGTTTATTGGTAATGCTAGTGTTAGGGTTAGGTCTAGTGTTGCACTTGGGGTTAGGTCTCGGGTTTGGGGTTTCTTATTAGTATAAGCATCGGATTTAGGTCAGATGTGGTTATGTAGCCGCACCTAAGGTAAACAAATCCCAACCACCTGTAATACGGGAACGGTGATAAAAGGACTTTTTACCTGTGGGGTCGGGGAACACACAGACGACGAGGATAGATAATTTTATGCAAAAGAAAAGCTTTTGGGAATGCGCCGTTGTAATTTGAGTGGTTGAGAAAAAGTTTCCCTAACCCCTATATCTAACCCCTAACACTAACTTCTAGGCCTAACCCCAATCCTAACCTTAACCCTAACCGACCGCAGCCCTAAACCCTAAGCCTGAAACATCCAATGCGAAAGTTAGAAGGAGACGACAGGCCGGAAGTCAAGAAGATAACCAGCATTGGGCCGAAAATGTAGACACGGCTACAAAGAAATAAGGACGCCAACTGGGCACACACCGAAACGCCCAGCAACATCATGCCAATGTAATCACATCAACACAAAATAACTAAATGGGACAACAGTATTGTGTTCATCAGATGCGGCGCATAAACTCATCTTACCTAGACTTAGTCTTAGAGGTAGGATTTAGGGCTGGTCTAGTGCTAAGGTCACGGTTCAGGGCTTGGGTTGTGGTTAGTGTTTAGTGTTAGCGTCAGGGATGGTTCTAGGCTTAGGCTTATAATTTGGGCCTAGATAGAAGATTAGTGATGTAGTTAGTATTAGGTCTGGGGCTTGGTTTAGGACTAAATCTAGCGGTCGGGTTTAGCATTTACGTTAGGGGTATGGGTTTAGGGCTAGATTCAGTGATAGGATTAGGGCTATGTTCTAGGTTTAAAGTCAGCTGTCAGGGTCACTGTTGGAGTTGGGGCTTAGGGTTAAGGTTTTGAGTTAGGGTTGTTAAAATTCTGCGAAAATTCCCATATTACGATTGAAAAGTCAATTGGCTAGCATATGCTTTCGGTAATTCCTCATCAGGCCTGTACAATTACAAGGGAAATGGTTAGATTTAATGTTAGATTAAGTGTTAGAGCTAGTGATAAGGTTATTTTAAGTTCATTGGGCTATGGGTTACGGCTCTTGATATGGTCACCCCTTTTTGGTTTGGATTTAGGTTTAGGGGTTAGTGCTTGGGACAAGGCTCAGAGTAAGGTTTTCGAGTCAAAAAGTTGGGTATAGGATTATGGTCAGTGTTTAGGGTAAGGTTAATGTGTTAGGGTGTGTGATAAAGTTAAGGGTGGAGGTTGGCTTTAGTGTCAGAATTAGGCTTCACGTTACGTGACAGCGTTAATGTTAGGTTTAGTGTGTAGTGCTATAGGTTATGGCTAGTGATAGGGTTCACGTTAGCGGTAAGGGTTGATATTAGATTTGTGATTGGTGTTAGGGGCCGGGGTTATGATTTAGGACTAACATTATGGTTAAGGATTAAGATTAAGTTTTAATTTTATGTGTACGGTTAGTGCTAGGGTTAGGGCTACCGGTTATTTATAGAGCTTATAGTAAGCTTAGAACATGGGTTAGGATTTAGGATTTAAGGTTAGGGTTATGGTAAGGGTTACAGCTAGAGGTTAGAGTTTTACGGCTTAGGTTAAGGGTCAATATGAATTATTAAAAATCTGCCAAAACATTTATAAGCGTTTAGAGTTTCGACTAGGGTAGTGTTAGGGTTAGGGAGTAAGCTCAGAGATGAGGTTAGAATTTAGAGCTAAAATAAGTGTTGTTTTTAGGTTTATGTTTGGATTTGGAGCTAGAGTTAGTTTTAGCTTTACGATTCAGGGTTAAGTTGTAACGTTGGGGTTGTGTCTTATGCTTAAGTTTGCGTTAACGTTGGGTCTATGGCTAACTGTTGGGTTACGCGTATCGCTATTGTCGGGGTTGGGGCTGGGATTAGGGCTAGGTTAAATGCTAAGTGTCAGGGGTTTTCCGGATTAGGATTAGGACCATGTGTTGTGTTAAGTTTTTAGGAATAGAATAAAGATATTTGTTTAGGGCTTACGATTATCGTTAGGATTAGAGCCAGGGGCTGGGATTATGATGATGAATAAATGTTAGTGTAAATTCTGTGGTTCACTGCCGGGGTTTAGATTTGGGATAGTGTCTGGTTTAGCACTGGAGTTAGGGCTTATGACTACGGCTAGGGTTGGGGTTTAGGGGTAGCATTAGGGTAAGTGTCAGTTTTAGGGTAAAGAGTAAATGTTGGACTTGGGGTTCAGGTTTAGGTCAAGGGTTACCTTTTAGGTTTATGGTCTCGGTTAGGGTTAGGTTTACGGTCAGATTAAATGTTAGGGTTGCGGTTTAGATTTAGTGTTAGGGTTCAAGGTTGTGATTTAACTTTAGCGTTATTGCCTTGTGTTTATGTTAGACTTAGGAGTGCGGTTAGTTTTAGGTCCAGATCCAACGTTAGGAGCATTGTTATGGCTAGGTTAGCGTTAGAGCTATTGTTTAGGATTGGGCTGAGGGTTTAGAGTTAGAGTTAATGGTTAGGTTTAGGATTATTGTCAGCGGTTAGGATGGGGAATATCGGGTAGTGAAAGGTACAGGGTTAGAGTTAACGGTCAGGCTTATTGGCAGATTCAGAGTTAGGTTTGTGTGCTGGCGTCAGGAGTTAGCATTATACAGTACACGACCTATCTCATGAAATCTGAAAACGGAAACTGATGAGGGAATTTCTGGACGCCTTATGACCCAAACGACCATTGTCGTGAAAAGGAGCGTCCAAACACTCACAAATTCGGTAAATGCTTTCAAGAATAATCTTATTTAAAGTTCTCAACAGATAGGTAATCCAGAATCTGTCTTTATGGACGATCGGGTCAAAACACTGAAAATCCTGGCCTCATGGCATGTCACCATATAAAAACTTTTGTTCCTACGAGGTCCCCATCGGTGAACTCAAGCAAAGTCCAGCTTCTTTTGTTGAACCCCATCTCATTTACTTCAAACGAGCCAAAAATGACACGAATCACGGGAATACTGTTTTGGAATCTACACTCAGAATGTAGGCAGTTGACAAACCGTCATATATAAAATCACACTACTTAGTAAACGATATTTAGAAGTTAAATTCCCTAAAACTCTGTTATTAAACGTTATTTCATGTTCACTTTCACATTTACTACGCTTTTTGTATGAGAATACATTCAATACATCTAAAAACGAACTTAACTTAATTAGAGCCATTTCTGACGTTTTCGGGATATTGCGCCTTTCAAAATAAATCGGCATTTCTAAACAATGCAAAACTGCCTTTAACATTTCTTTTATGGTTTTAATTCTTTTAAACTTGCACTTAATTAGCGTTGACATTTGACTCATGAAATGGTGTCGGTTTGCGAGTGATTGGCAACCATTCGTAAATTTCGACACATTTCGTGAGCTAGGTCACTAACTGTAGAAGAGAATAGGCGAGTTCCAGGAAGAAGCCGCGAAAAAAGACACGATCGCAGAAAAGAAAGTTTAACTAGCCTGATGTTTCGGATTCTCACTCGAATCCATCATCACAGACAGAGTCAGGTGAGAGTGGTAAGTCGCCCAGGTGTTGCAATATTTATATGATGTAGTTGTTAGGTTGCCACATGCCTATCACTGCTGGCAGCTCACGAGTGCATCACGGATCAACTGGCTAGGTGTTGAAGTATGCAGTTGCCATGCAGTTGCTATGCGCCTGTGTGCCGGTCAAGATTATCGGCTCCCAAGCTCATCGCACGCAGTCGAGTTGTTGACAGCCGAATTTCGTCATCCGTGTGGACGCTTGAGCAATTTGGCTCGCCGACACTGACACCAGGAACAGTGGTCATACGTATGCTCTCCTCGTGGCAAACTACCTCGCCTAGGCAAAGTCTCAGCGCCGAATATGGAGAGGGGAGGTCGTTGCGCTTGTTGATTGATTGAGGACTAGAAAACCATGAGTCGAGCAGTTCGCGGCTCATGCGCTTGTCACCTCTAGCAAGAATTTCTGCCTCGTCAAACTTGAATGTGTGGTTGGGTGGCGTTTAATGAGCCGCGACTTGGGAGCTGGTGACATTTCGTCCAGCTGCTGCTGCGTGCTCGACCATGCGCGTCCATAGTAGCCTTCCGATTCCTCAGACATATTTACTTTCTCCACACTTGTGCCAGACCCGATAAACGATTCCACATCTTTCTTGTCGGGGCAATAGGTCTTTTGGCCTTATGATCTGGCGCCTTTTGGTTGCCTCCGGTCTGTATGCCACACCAATTCCAAGGGGGTGAGAGGGCTGCTGACGGCTTCTGAGAATTCTTCCCGTACGGGAGAGCTCACCAAAACTTGAGGTCAGTTGGATTTCGTCTCCCGTCTCGTTTGCGCAGGCACTGGTTAATGAAGTTGCGCGAGTAGCCATTGGGCGTTCCTGGAGTTAATGTCGGCGAGCCAAATTGCTCAAGCGTCCACACGGATGACGAAATCCGGCTGTCAGCAAGTCCACTGCGTTCGATGAGCTTGACAGCCGATAATCTTGACTGATACACAGGCGCATAGCAACGACATGGCAACTTCAACGCCTGGCCAGTAGAATCGTGATGCACTCGTGAGCTGCCAGCAGCGATAGGCTTGTAGCGTACTAACAACTACATCCCACAAATACTGCAACTCCTGGGTAATTTTACACTGCGATCTCCGATTCCGACACTGTCCACCGTGTGCTACATGGGAAGGTGCAGCAGACACGGTGACTTGCATGTGAATTAGTTTATAATGATAGTAGGCTTGCGCAACATCTACCACACTCTCTTCCCCATTTCCGTCCGGACTCGGTGTCAAGACAAAGGCAGGAAGACCGGAGGCGATGGTGGACGATGGTGGCGACTTACCACCCTCATATGACTCTGTCTCTGATGACGGATTCGATTGCGAATCCGAAACGTCAGGCTAATGGAGCTCTGGTTCCAGTGATCGTGTCTCCTTCTTCGCAGCTACGTTTAGTTTAGAGATAGGTTTATAGTTAGGGATAAGTGTTAGGGTTCAGGTGTAGGGTTGGAATGTCGGATCTAGTATTAGGGTTGGCGATTGGGTTTAGGATTAGGGTCATGGTTAGTATTTATGATTAGGGTTTAGGATTAGATATAGGGTTTATGGCTAGATCATAAAGTTAGGGTTCAGGTTTGAGTTTAGGGTTTATGGTTAGGGTTTATTGTTAACGTTTGGATTAGGCGTATATTTACGACTTGAGGTGGGGTTAGGTTTAGGGTTGCGGTTGAGTTAAGTGCTAGGTCTAGGTTTAGGCCATAGCGCCGGGTTTTTGCTTCATGTTAGGGCTAAAGTTAGGCGTTGTTGTTAGGCCTTAACGCTAGGACATACGGTTGCGGCTTTGGGTTATGGCTAGGATTATGCGTAAGAGTTTGTGATAGGTTTAGTGTTAGAAGGTAACATCAGTGTTGTGTTTAGATTACGTGTCATGCTTTGGGTTAGGTCGGTATATTTTAAGGGTAATAGGCAGTGCCTTTATAAACCCTATTGAAAACGGTAATGCAATACCTAACTTTGAATAAGCATGGTACTAAAGTGTTGTCAGTAATATATAAACTTAATGGAATATTTTCCTTTGAAAACGCAGGACCAAAACTCGAGAACATTCAGTTGTAGGTGATAAGGGAAAAATGAAATGACAGTCATCCGCATTAGCGGTAGGTGTATGCAAAGCGTTGGTTTGGCACAACAGAGCCATTCTGTCCCGACAAGCTATATTTTCCAAGCGATCTGTGCTACGTCAAACCGGCGCCACAGACAAGGCAAAAGACCTCCTCCGACATCGAGTATCTTCACTTCCCATGTCACACCGAAAAACCCATTCGTTGCTAAGAGGTGAACAAAAGGCCCTAAGGGAGTTGAAAGCAGACACCGATATAGTTATTCTGCCTGCTGACAAAGGTCGATCAACCGTTATCCTTGACAAGGTGGATTAACGAAACAAAGCACTCATGCTCCTCAACGACCGGGAGTCCTACATGGTCAGCGACGCCACTAGTCTAAAGTCCCTACTGGCGAGGGTTAACAGGGTTCTGTCTCGACTAAAGAAGGAAAAAGTCATCACCGTCAAAGAATGGTATATGGCAAAGCCCACAGAAACACCGATGGCGAGATTCTACGGTCTTCCAAAGGTACACAAGCCAGATGTTCCCCTCCGACCAATCGTCTCACTCCGAGGCACACCTACGTACGGGCTCGCAAATTGGCTGTTTCAGAAGCTAAGATTCCTAACCGCGGGCTCAGAAACAATCGTAAACTCAGCAGAGCAATTCCTCGACAAAATAAGGGCGGTCACGATCGAACCGAATGAGAGGATGGTGTCATTTGACGTCGTCTCACTCTTCACGTCCATACCACAGGCCCTTGCGGTCGAGACGCTCAGTGACCTGCTTCGTCAGAATTACGACGAGGGCGATGGCCAGCCCACAGCTCAAGATCTCATAGAACTCATGGGGCACTGCCTCAAGACATTTTTTACCTTCGAGGGGATCACCTATGAGCAAATTAAGGGCACTCCGATGGGTCCACCAATATCCGGACTCATTGCCGAGGCCGTTCTGCAAAAACTCGAGAAACGACTGTTCGCGGAATACAAACCCAAGTTTTGGGCGCGCTACGTTGATGATACCTTCGTAATCATCGATCAGGATAAAATTAGCTACTATGAAGAACTATTGAACTCAATCATCCCCGACCTACAGTTCACGATGGAAGAAGAAGTGGAGAGCAAACTTTCATTTTTGGATGTTCTCATCTACCGCCAACCAGACGGTAAACTGGCAACGTCAGTCTACAGAAAACCGACGAACACGCTGCAAAGGCTCAGCTACAACAGCAACCACCCACTGCAACACAGACGAAGCTGTGTACGCACACTATACCGACGGGTGGAAACTCATTGCAGCACTCCAGTCGCCAAACTGGACGAGATGAAGCTCCTGCAAGAACTCTTCAGAGACAACGGCTATCCGCGAACATTCGTTGAACGGAGTCGAAAGCAACCAAGGAAGCGGAATGAAGAACCTATTCGGCCAAAATCGTGGCGGAGCATTCCATACATGAAAGGGGTCTCCAAAGCCGTAGCCAGATCCCTCGCGCCGCTCGGAATAGGCGTTGCCCAAAGGCCCGACTCAAAAATCCGCCGGCAAGTGATGCGGCCAAAAAACCCGATCCCTAAACAGGAGATGTCGGCTGTTGTCTACGAATTCAGTGCAGCTGCGGAATGTGTAACTACGTTGGGGAAACCGGCCGACGGCTGCAAACGCGCATGCACGAGCATAAGTTGGCCGTGCGAAGGTTGGACCCAACGTCGGAGGTAGCAACCCATGCCGCCCCAATGGGACACGTCTTCAACTTTGACGCCGTTGAAATTGTGGGCCGAGGGGATGATCATACGGCAAGACAGGTGCAAGAAGCCTGGATGTCTACCGACTGCTCTGTCAACCGCCACATCAATTTACCTCCCCCTTATCTGGTTTTACGGACATTCTTGACGGGGGACAGTCACGGCGTGGGACAATCGGGGCCGCCTAATTATCATCGCGGCCGACGAAGATGGGCGGAATTCAGGTCACGGTGACATGCGGATCGGATGCAGCCACGCAGGCGGCATTGATGGGCCAGGCTTTGAACAAAGTGCGCCATAAAAGGATAGCTGTGTGCACGACTGCTCAGTCTCTGAAGATGGGTAGAAGAAACGACTACCCGAAACGTCAGACCTCAAATACACCTCTCCCGGTGAACGCCTCCTCTTCTTTTGATATGCCACCCGGGAATCACATTTTCACCTCTATTGAAGTTGAAGTTGTTTCTCAAGTTTCTGACCTCCGACTCGAACGCCACAGTCAGCTCGTCAACGCAATTCGTGGAGAAACTAAAAGGAGTCAGTCTCCTGCCAAGCGATATCATGGTTTCCTTTGATGTCACGTCCCATTTTACTCCTATCCCGCAGGACCTGGCGGTCGAGACCATCGAACTACTCCTACGAGAGAAATACGACGAAACGGAGAATCGCCTCGGACACGCCCAAATCATCCAGCTCCTGAAGTTCTGTCTCAAGACGTACTTTACATTCGACGGAACAATCTACGAGCAGGTGAAGGGAACACCAATGGGTTCGCCGATTTCGGGACTCATAGCCGAGGCGGTCCTACAACGGCTGGAGTCGCTGGTTTTCCGACACCGCAGACCGAAATGTTGAGCTCGGTATGTGGATGTTACCTTCGTCGTCATCGAACGGGATCAGGTGCTGGCAGTAGTAGTATTATCAGAAGCAGAAGAAATAATTGTAGTAGTAGTATTGCCAGCGATATTAATAGTAGTAGAATTCATAGCAGCAGCAGCAGCAAAACGGTAGTAGTCATTGCAGAAGTAGCAGAATTAAAAGCGATAATGGTAGTAGTAGTAGTAGTAGTAGTAGTAGTAGTAGTAGTAGTAGTAGTAGTAGTAGTAGAATTAGTGGTTTTAGAAGAAGAAGAATAGCAGTGGTAGACGTAGTATTTGTATAAGTATTAATGGTAGTAGTGGAAAAAGCAGCTGCCGATGATGTAGTACTCGTAGTAATATACGCATTATAAATAGTAACAGCAGTAGTAATAGCAGCAGTATAGTTAACTGCAATATTAATAGCAGCAGAAGCGGAAATATTATTAGTATATTGGAGGTAATAAGAGTAGTTGAAGCGGAAGCAATAGCAGTGGTAGAATTAGCAGTAAAATTAGCAGTTCTAGTATTAGTAGTAGAGGAAGTAGTATTGGCAGCAGAAGTGGTAACGGTGGTGGTAATAGTAGTAGTAGCGGCAGAAGGAGAAGTAGTGGCAGGGGTAGAATTAGTAATAGTAGTAGCAGTATTCATAGTGGTAATAGTTGTACTGGTAGTATTTGTAGTAGAAGTAATAGTTTCAGCAGCATTGTTATTGGTAGTAGTAGTAGTAGTAGTATATATATTAGTAGCAGCTATGGCAGCATTAGTCAAATTATTAGATGTAGTAGTAGTAGTAGTAGTAGTAGTAGTAGTAGTAGTATTTGTAGTAGCAGCGGCTGCAGTGGTAGTAGTGGTAGTAGCAGAAGAAAAATTTTTGGTGAGCGTATAAATGGTAGTGGTAGTAGTATTATGAGTAGAAGTATTGGCAGTGTTAGTATTCTTATTAGTGATAGTAGCATTTGAAGCAAAACCAGTTGTAGAAATATTTGTAGTAGCAGTAGTAGCAGCTGCAGTTGTGGTAGTATTACTAGTAAAATACTGCCCCTTCTGGTCGGGTTTTCCGTTTTTCATTGGAGCGCTGGTCCAAAGTCCCTGCAGACACTAGCCAAACGAGTGACCCAGAATGACGGTTGAGCTTCTTGATCGGAGGGTGTGTGCAATTAAGTGCTGGGTCTACGAAAACGTTTGAGGTGTTTAGAGTGTCGAAAAAAGAAGCCCGAATACAAACACGTCAGTCTACCACAGAATTTTCCAGTACAACTACAAGGCAGGCTGATGATCCCGTTGCTTTGAAGGGAATATAACTGAAATCACCCAACGGCGTTGATTTTGCGGGCGACAAAATTCTGAGGAAACAGTATCGCGCATGCCCTGTGAAACGTTGACTGGATGAACTCGCAACCGTGAAGATCTCACTTACTGCACGGTTGCTTCTAAGGTAACATGGTGGCACTTAAGTAGCAAAAATAGCCAGTTGTTTCGCATGCACGTATAAAAATTGACCTCACCAGATAGCCTGACAAGAACTGGGACTCCACCTTTGTGGCAGAAGGCATGACCAATTTGTTTCGACTGGATAGGCCAGTCCTTGCGTGTATGCGTTTGCCCCTAAAGCAGACCACGCGGTAGATGTGCTGGAGTAACAGGGGGAGTGGGTCCAGATCGGAGTCAGACCGGCGTTATCGAGATGCGCACCCACTATAAACGCCAACATTGGGGCGTGGCCGCACGCCCTTGTGCAGACTCACGGTGCGTCAACCGAGATCTGAGCTGTCCCTTTAAATTCGTTGTTGCCAAAACTCCTGGTCAGTGTAGGTTGTGGACCAGGGGTGTGATGGTACGTATAGGTGCGGACTTTGGGGTATAGGGGTGTCAGCGGTGGGTTCACGTGACGGTCGTAGTGGTCGCTCATTTGCTTGCAGGTGAGACTACGCCTAGCGTCCATTTGCTGTCACCCAACTCTCACATGTGGCTCCACGTAGCTGCGCTCTTCTCAGCGGCCACAATCCGGGCAACCGCCTCTACCGGCGGGCTAAACCAGGTGAGGGCGGTTTCTCCCGGTGCGCGTTGTACCACGTGCACAGGGTACTGCGGACTCCGCTGGACGGTTGGTCGGATGGAACACCGTGTCGGCGCCGTCGTGAAGAGGTTTCGTCTACGCTGTCGGTCAGCCAGTTGGTGGAACATCGCATCGGCATCGTCGAGACGAGGCTCCGCCTGATACGCTGTTGATCAGCCGGTGGGATGGATCTTCGAATCGACATCGCGCATTCGCGCCCATCTGGTGCACCGTAGGAGACCGCAGGCTTACGGCAATGCCGGAAGCCATTGGCAAATTCGAGTCGTTCTTCTTCTGCCAAGAAAATATCGTGACCCGTAGTGGAGTTCAGCCGCGCCGACGCATCAAGCAGCTTTATTCAGGGACCGGGCACTGCTTCTCGAAAAGCCGGCTGGGGAACCACGTCGTCTTCTGGCGCACCGTGGTCGCAGAGGCAAAACTCACGGTCGAAACAATCAAAATCGAAACAGCAACAACAACAACGACCATACTCATTCTGCTCATCTTACCTATTCTTCATCTTCCTCTGCCTATTCTTCTGCCTATTCTACTCCTTCGACACCTTATTCTCCACCTCCTTCGCTTTGCCCCACCCGTTGTCACCAGACTGCCAGGGTAAGCCCGCTCACTCTGGCAGCCTGGAATGTTCGTTCCCTTTTAGAAAATCCGAGGAGCTACCGACGGGAACGGAGGACGGTGCTAGTGGCCCGAGAACTGGCGTGCTACAAGGTGGACATCGCCGCACTTAGCAAGACCCGATTCTGCGAACAAGGCCAAGTGGAGTAGGTGGGTGCCGGCTACACCTTCTTCTGGAGTGGGCGGCCCAGGGCAGAAAGACGAGACGCGGGTGTTGCCTTCGCTATCCGGAACGACATCGTGGGACGACTACCCTGTTTGCCGCAGGGAATCAACGATCGCCTGATGGGCCTCCGCCTGCCTCTGCCGCGGCGGAGAGGAAAATTCGCCGCCATCAACAGCGCCTACGCTCCGCCAATGAGCAGCCCTGACGCCGCCGCAAGAGGCAAATTCTACGAGGACCTGCACGCCCTCTTGGCGACTGTGTCGAAGGCGGACAAGTTGATTGCCCTTGGTGACTTCAACGCCCGCGTAGACACAGACCATACTGCCTGGAGAGGTGTGCTGGGTCCCCGTGGTCTCCGCGGCTCAAACGACAATGGCCTGCTGCTCCTCCGCACCTGCGCAGAACACCGCCTCATCCTGACGAACGCGTTCTTCTGTCTGCCGGAGCGAGAGAAGGCCACCTGGAGGCATCCTCGGTCGCGTCAGTGGCACCTGCTGGACTACGTCCTCGTCCGAAGGCGTGACCAGCGGGACGTGCTGGTGACGAAGGCGATCGCGGGCGATGACGGGTGAACCGACCATCGCCTCGTTATCTCGAAGATGCGTATTCGCCTACAGCCTCGCAGGCGACCACAAGGTAAGCGACCCACAGGTAAGCTGAATATTGCCTTCTTGTCTTTGCCCGCTCATCATCTACATTTCATCAATGAGCTCGCCCAACGGTTAGACAACCTTCAAATCGCTGCCGCCGACGACGCCGCCAACGACGCCGCCACTGCCGAGAACGCCTCCGTGGAGATCCGTTGGTGTCGACTTCGAGACACGGTCCAGTCTACGCCGCTAGCCGTCCTCGGTCGCGCACGCCGCCAACACCAGGACTGGTTAGACGACAACGACGCCGCCATCAGAAATCTGCTTGCTGAGCAGAACCGCCTACACAAAGCCTACGTAGATCACCCCACAGCGGACAACAAAGCTGCCTTCTACCGCAGTCGCCGACAGCTTCAGCAACGACTGCGCGAGATGCAGGACGCCTGGACTGCTCGCAAAGCTGAGGAAACCCAAGGCTACGCGGACCGCAACGAGTGGAAGAACGTCTTCTTCTCCGCGATCAAAGCTGTCTACCGTCCGCCGACGAAGGGCACTGCTCCTCTCCTCAGCGCCGACGGCAGTACCCTCCTGAATGACAAGACACAAATTCTGCAGAGATGGGCCGAGCATTTCCGTGGCGTCCTTAACCGCCCCTCCACCATCTCCGACGCCGCCATCGCTCGTTTGCCGCAAGTGGAGACCAACGTGGACCTCGACCACCCGCCATCTCTCCAGGAAACCATCAGGGCCGTGCAGCAGCTCTCCATTGGGAAAGTACCCGGATCGGACGCAATCCCTGCTGCGGTCTAAATGTACGGAGGTCCCCAAATGATGGACCACCTGACTGCGCTCTTCCAGGAGATGTGGCATCAAGGTGAAGTCCCACAAGATTTCAAAGACGCAACCATCGTGCTTCTCTACAAACGATAAGGAAACCGCCAAGTCTGCGACAATCACCGTGGCATCTCCTTGCTGAACATCGCCGGGAAGATCTTCGCTCGCATTTTGCTCAACCGCCTCATTAACCATCTCCAACAGGGCCTTCTGCCGGAAAGCCAATGCGGCTTCCGTCGTCATCGTGGGACCACAGACATGGTCTTCGCCGCTCGTCAACTGCAGGAGAAGTGCCAGGAGATGCGGACCCACCTGTGCTCTACCTTAATGGACCTGACGAAAGCCTTCGACACGGTGAATCGTGAAGGACTGTGGAAGATCATGCAGAAATTCGGCCGTACGGAACGATTCACTCAGATGGTGCGTCCGCTGCACGATGGTATGATGGCGCGAGCCACGGACAACGGAGCGGTCTCGGAGGCATTCGCAGTGACCAACGGAGTGAAGCAGGGATGCGTGCTGGCGCCTACCATCTTCAGTCTTATGTTTTCTGCCATGCTGATGGACGCCTAACGTGATGAACGTCCCGGGATCCACATCGCCTACAGGACGGACGGTCACCTGCTGAATCAACGGCGGATGCACTTCCAATCACGCGTCTCCACAACCACCGTCCACGAACTTCTCTTCGCCGACGACTGCGCCCTGAGCACCACCTCGGAAGAAGAGATGCAACGGAGCATGGACCTCATCTCTGCCGCCTGCGAGAACTTCGGTCTGGCTATCAACATGCAGAAGACGGTGGTCATGCATCAGCCGCCACCCAACACAGCCACTCCTCCCAACGCGCCGCAAATCAGTGTGAACGCAACCCAACTGCAAGTGGTGGAGAACTTTCCGTACCTGGGCAGCACCCTCTCCCTTAACGCCAAAATCAATGTCGAAGTCCTTCGCAGGATCTCGAAAGCCAGTCAATCCATCGGTCGCCTCCAAAGCACAGTCTGGTATCATCAGGGTCTCCCACTGAGCACGAAGCTGAAGATGTACAGGGCGGTCATCCTGCCGACGCTGCTGTACGGAGCGGAGACTTGGACAGTATACACAAAGCAGGCACGTCGACTGAACCATTTTCACCTTAGCTGTCTCCGTCGCATCTTGAAGCTGAACTGGCAGGATCGAATCCCCGGCACTGATGTGCTGGAACGGGCGGGAAACGTCAGCATCTACACCATGCTGAAACAGATGCAGTTGCGTTGGAGCGGCCACCTGGTGCGCGTGGACGACGAGCGACTACCCAAACGACTCTTCTACGGAGACGTTGCGACGGGTTCTCGTCGTCAAGGAGGCCCAATTCGCCGTTGTGTGAAATGCTGATGTTTGTGTGTATGGGGGGCCAGGTCGTGCTCGTGGCGCGCGCAGTCATGGTCAGTCGATCATGCCAGCCACCACGCCCATTTCCCACTCTAGTCTGCTCACCAGCTCGGACAGCGGCTGCGGTGTGGGAATGGGAAGGGAGAGTGAGGTCGGCGACTCAGCGCATTTTCTCCTCACTCTAAACAGTCTGACGCGTTTGAAGCTATCACGGTGCGCTAAAAGCCGTGGCTTGGAAGGTTGCCAACTGACGGGATAACATGGACCTCATCCTGGACTGGAGGTCTGAGAGTCAGGCTGCAATGGCTCCTTCTTAATGTGGCCTTTATGGCATTCCCACCACAGTGTGGGATCCGAGCCAGGCGTTGGCGGCACGCCTAGGTGCGGCTTCGGCCATGCCAGCCTCCAATCTCGGTTGTGTTCGTTGAAATCCTGGTTATTTGTTGTGTGGACCAGGGGGTGTAGTGGAACGCCAAGGTAAGTATCCGTCCGAGTAATCCACCTACGGCCTCCCTTGTCTTCGGTCTTCTTGACTCTGTCTTGACACTAGGCTCGGGCGAGGGAGGAGGAGAGAGTGCAGGTAGATGCAGCACAAGTCTACCGGCACTATAAACCTCTGCGCAAGTCACCGTCCCTGCTCCCACCGCTGCTGCAGCTGTGGGGCACACGGTGGACTTCATCGAAATCGATGATTCGGTTGCCCCTAAGGTAACATGGTGGCACTTAAGTAGCAAAAATAGCCAGTTGTTTCGCATGCACGTATAAAAATTGACCTCACCAGATAGCCTGACAAGAACTGGGACTCCACCTTTGTGGCAGAAGGCATGACCAATTTGTTTCGACTGGATAGGCCAGTCCTTGCGTGTATGCGGTTGCCCCTAAAGCAGACCACGCGGTAGATGTGCTGGAGTAACAGGGGGAGTGGGTCCAGATCGGAGTCCGGCCGGCGTTATCGAGATGCGCACCCACTATAAACGCCAACATTGGGGCGTGGCCGCACGCCCTTGTGCAGACTCACGGTGCGTCAACCGAGATCCGAGCCATCCCTTCAAATTCGTTGTTGCCAAAACTCCTGGTCAGTGTAGGTTGTGGACCAGGGGTGTGATGGTACGTATAGGTGCGGACTTTTGCCGTGACAGCCACCTGCGACCCCTCCTGCCTCCGGTCTTCTTGACTCTGTCTTGACGTCGGGACCATGGGGGCAAGGAGAAAAGAATGCGGAATCCGCATCCGCGGAATTTAAGCGTATGTCTCTCA